GAGGACAGCAGGCAGCCACATCGCTGCCTTCAACCAGATCTGTACTGCCAACAAACTTTTGTCTCTGGTCGCCCCCTTCGTTAATGTGTGTAACGTGTGTAACGTTGCGTCCCATGTGGAGGAGGACCCTTGTCTGCGTCACCTCACTGACAGGTAATTTACTTGGCCAGGAAGGAGTTTCGATCCGCAAGCTCAGAGTGATCTAACAATTCAGGGATCCGGGATTCGCAGATCCGGGATTCCTGCGATTAGTCCAGTCCCTTCCCTTGCGATTCGTTGCGGAAGACTTTGTTGTTCTGATCGGCGGAAGAAGAACCAGCCGTCGGTTGACCACGTCAGACGGAGAGTGCGGGCGATGACGGGCATGGCGACCATGGCGTATGCGCTCCTCATTGCCGCGGCGGCCATGTCGGCCGCAGTGGGCGCCGCTCGACGGAATGAGGACTGCGATCTGTATGGCATGAACTGCGAGGGCCCGTCCGACAGCTCAGGTGGGCAGATCTTTGAAAGATCTATGCAGCACACACGCATCGCTCATGGATGGCTCACATACGGCTGGCCTTCATGTGTGTGTGTGTGCAGGTGAGTCGTTTTTTAGCCGTAGTGAGGAGATCTTCGAACAACAGACCGATGACACCGACACTGAGGAAGGTGTGCAGGTGGTTGGATGGATGGATGGAAGGACGACGTATGTGTGCGTGCGTGTGTGTGTGTGATCAGGAGAGCTGTCGGCAACGTATGGCGTGTCCAGCAAGCAGCGGATGTTTTCGCTCGCGCAGCAGAAGGTGCAGCAGGCCAAGAACATGGTCAAGGCATCCAGCAAGATGACCGCTGACGCCCTCAAAGCCGTCAACACCATCCAGCAGCAGCTCGTCAACAAGGCCAAAACCGGTGGGTAGGTGTGTGGTGGATGGATGGATGGCTGGATGCAGATACGTATTGGTTTGCCTTTCATCAGGTCAGGTCCGCTTCCAGGATGACCACCTGGGCGCCGCCCGTGGCGAGGGGTGCGGAACCGGAAAGAGGACCAGCTGTCCAGACGACACCGAACCATACGTAGAACCACGATTCAACAAAGGGCCGATCCACCACACGTGTGTGCCGTGGTCTGCACTGCACTGGTGTGATCAATGTTCAGGCGTGCCTGAACGGCCTCAAGCATTCGAGGGAAGTGATGTACAAGGTGGGCATTGGACATTGGGGATCCATCCATCCATCCATATGTGTGTGTGATGTGGTGTGGTGTGGTGTGGTGTCACACTGTCAGTGGTCCCGTAAGTGCAGCAAGGAGTTCTGCAAGGTCGCGTGCGATGCCGTGACCGACCGCCAAGCGGGTAGAGTGGAGTGGTGCTGCAAGAAGGAGAGTGTCGATAAGGTGGAACCCGAGTCCTACAAGGACGCCTTGGCCAAGCTGTACGCCGAAATGGACGAGTCCGCCGAAATGGACGAGGAATAAGTATAGAAGGGCGGCAGGGACCGGTTCCCACGTAGTCAGTATGGACAGATGCGTAACCAATATATACAGCACGGACACACACGGGTGACGTCTGTATGTGTGTGGGTATTTCTTACCTACATGTGGAACGTCCGAGAGCATGGAGGACAGACAGGACACACACACGGGCTGTCTGCACGAGTGTGCGACACTGCAAGCGGCCGGCCTCGTTGCAGTCAGTGTCGCACAATCATGCAGAGCAGCAGCAGCAGCAGCAGCCGCAGAGGTCCGTGTGTATGGCCTGGCATGCTCTCCTGCTTTAGCTATCATATATTGGTTCAGTAAACATTCCCACGTATTTCTGTCTATTCCGCGGAGACCAAGCACGATTCACCTCTTCAATGCTTCTCTCTCACACAGCGATGGATGCGTTGACCCATCTGCAGTTTGCGTGTCACTCACTGACCGCTGCCGCAATGTGTGTGTGTGTCCTCCGCGGCTGTGCTGCCTGGCTGGCCAAGTAAATTACCTGTCAGTGAGGTGACGCAGACAAGGGTCCTCCTCCACATGGGACGCAACGTTACACACGTTACACACATTAACGAAGGGGGCAACCAGAGACAAAAGTTTGTTGGCAGTACAGATCTGGTTGAAGGCAGCGATGTGGCTGCCTGCTGTCCTCTTGACTCTCCCCCATGCCGTCGGTCCCCTGCTGCTGCCGCACCTGGCAGTGTGTTCTTCGTGGCCCCTTCTATCATGAGGATTTAGATGGACTGATTGTTGCACACTTAGTCTTGCGTTGGCATCGACAGACATCACGCACACACGTGTGTCGTCTCACAGCCATGGATGCACTCAGCGCCTGGGCACGCACATTTGTCTGTGTGTCAGTCTGTCTTCTCTCTCTCGCTCGATGATGTCTCCCTCGTTCTGTCTATTGTGTGTGTGCCGACACGTTCACGGCCACATGCCGGCTTCGGAACAAAGGCACTGCACACACGAGGCACACACACACCATCAACAACATAAGTCACGCACATACATCCATGCAGACGTGGGCTTACTTTGCTGCGTGGGCTGCATCACGGCCGCAGCTGGCGGCTGTGTCTCTGTCTGTGTTGGCGGGGGCACTTGCACTTGTACTTGTGTGTCCTCCGCGGCTGTGCTGTCAGCAAAGTCAGCGGGCCGGAGTTCGCCGGTGGGCGATGTCAGACTCAGAGCACTCAGCAGCGGGGCCGTGTAGCCATCGAGACTTGTCATCGCACATGCGACCAACACAGAGAGACACACATGGACGCCACGCCCACTGTGTCAGTCGTTGCTTACACTCCTTGAGTTGTTTGCGGACGTCTTCGGGCGTCACGCTGAGTGCATCAGACGCCTGGCGGGACGCTGCGGCCACCTCGACAAACGAGCCGCCAGACAAACTGCTCAGCGCTGCACAAACCACACACAGGCACACAGATCTGCTGTGTCCCTGTCTCTGCCTCTCTCATTGACGCGGGCTGACCTCCCTGCATGGCGACGGGTTTCGCTGTGGGGTACCGGCCCATGGCGTCCAAATTCAGCTGGGCACTGACACAAAAGTGCACACACTGTCAGTCATCATCGACTTATGCAATGTGTTCACTTGATTGGGCGGAAGGCTGTCGAGACAACCTCATTGAAGATCCGACGCAACGTCGACACGTCATTGGCCGAGACGGACGACGTCGACACAGCGAGGAACAGAATCAAAGCGAAGCACAGGCGGGCAGACAGCATCGTGACGTCAGACAATCAAATCACCGTAGCCGTCTCCGCTTGTTTGCTTGCTTCTCTGCTTCTCTGCCTGTCTGTTCTCTGTGTGTTATCGATCCCATCGACAAATACGTACGTCCATTCACTCAATAGTCCATCCACACACATATACACAATACACATTACACGAGGTCAGGTCGATCACATGCCATACAGCTCCGCCAGCCCTCGAGACAGCTTGAAGCAACGCCTGAACTTCCGCTGGGCCTCTTCTATCTCGCCCTTCTCGGCCAACAGCTGCGCCTCTTGCCACAGCGCAAAAGCCTCACGGTCCTCAGGCGATGTCAATATGGGGTCCTGTGTGAAGGCAGAGCGTGACAGTGAATGGATGACACATCGTGTGATGTATTCGTTCGTGTGTTGTCACCCACCTTTCTGCGATACATGACGTCGCTTCGGATGACGTATTTCTCCGCGCCCTCAGCCACGGCCGCACCCTCATGCATCTGAACACAGCAGCGCACAGGGGAAGGCGTTGGGTGCTATCTGCAGTGCTTCACACCCGCCTGACCGTCGCACCTGTGTTTGGTAGAAGCAGAGAGCTCTCCCCCGGACGGCTGGCACTCGCTCTATGACCAGGTCGTCACGAGCCGTGTATCTGCCCTGGGCGTCAGTGGGAATCGGGCACTCCCTCTGCTCGTCCTTGATGATGACCGTCTCGCCACCACCTGGATAAAGCACACACACACAGCGCCACACACATCCCGCATACACAGAGATGGCACGTGGATGCCCCGCCTCACCTTACCTTCGGGTGTGTTGAGATAGAGCAGCAGGGGAAAAAGTGACCGGTGGTTGATATCAACCACTGTGCAGCCGTCCGAGTGCGGCCCAAAATGACCACCGTCCGAGTAGCGGGCAAAGAGGAGGTTCTCGTTGACGCCGCAGGCAACCCACGTGCCGCGGAGGTCCCTCTCGAACCGCTCATCATCTTCATTGTCGAAAGTTATCTCCAGGACGACGTGATCCTTGACCCTCTCCTGCATCACACACACACATTGAAACAGTGCACACCGAGCCATGCTGTCACATCGCCCGCCTGCTCACCCACACTGCAGCTGCGAGGGCTGTATTGGTCACCTCGCAGGTCCATGCGCTCCTAAAATCACTCGATGGATTGGCTGAAGTGTCCTGACACGCACAACAGACACATTGACAATGACCGATCTGCAGGCACACGGACATCGGAGATGGCGGCCCGCTGTGTGGCGTTTTTCTTACCCAGAAGGTGTACCCAGCTTCTTCAGTCGCGCTGATGAGAAACTCGCACTCACCTGCCGCGAGCACATCGGTCAGGACGAAGGCGTCCTGTGACTCGCCGATATCTATCCTCCCGACTCGCCGTTGCTCTGCGGCAGCTGCCCATGAGTAGGCGAGTTTTTCAGAACAGATCTCTTCCTTGTCGACCACCTTCTCCCATTTTTTTGACGTCGTGGCGCTCGCGCCAGACACGTCGTCAGCCGGAGCGTTCCCAATGGCCATTTCTCTTCCCAATTGCGAACTGTCGAACGGCGGATCGGTTTCAGGGAGCAGCAAGCTTGAAACTGAAGCATTGAAGTACTGCGGTGAAGGAGAGTAGCGAGACCCCGTGTGCACCTGTTCGCCATTTGCAGCGGCCTCGCTTGCAACACGTCGCATCTCTCTCCTCGTGTCGTGTCGTGTCGTGCCGCGCGGCGCATTGAGTCAGCCCTCTCCCGTCTGATCCACAGATCCATCGATGGCGCGGCGGTACGACCAGCGGACGACGACCTTTTCGCCCGAGGGCCGCCTGCATCAGGTCGAGTACGCCATCGAGGCCATCAGCCACGCGGGGTCGGTCATCGGCATTCAGGCCAAGGACGGGGTGGTGCTGGCGGGCGAGAAGAAAGAGACCACCAAGCTCGTCGACCCCGGCAAGCGCGGCGAGAAGGTTTACAAGATCGATGACCACGTCATTGTGGCGGTGGCCGGCCTCACCAGCGACGCAAACGCACTCGTCAACCGGGCACGCATCAACGCCCAGCACTACTTCTCCAGGTACGGCGAGAACGAGCCCGTCGAGCAGCTCGTCGTCTCGCTGTGCGACTACAAACAGGTACGCACACAAGCCTAACGCGGCCTCTGCCTCACACATGCGCAGATGCCCATCTGTCTGTCTGTCTGTCTGCCTGTCAGCAATACACGCAGTTCGGCGGTCTGCGTCCGTTCGGCGTGTCGTTTATGTTTGCGGGATGGGACCGCCACTTTGGCTTTCAGCTGTACCAGTCGGACCCCGCGGGCAACTACACCGGCTGGAAAGCCACAGCCATCGGCAACAACTACAGCTCGGCGGTCCCCATGCTCAAACAGGTCCGTCCGCTCTGCCCTGCTCTGCCATTCTCACACACACACACACAGACAGGGGAGGGCCGTGCTGTGTGTTGTGTGTGCAGGACTGGAAGGAGGACATGGCGCTCGACGAGGCGGTGCACCTGGCGGCCAAGGTGCTGCTCAAGACAACCGAGAGCTCGAGCCTCACCAGCGACAAGTGCGAGTTCGCCGTGCTGACCGTCAAGGACGGCAAGGTCAGCCACAGGATGCTCACCAACGACGAGATCCTCGCTGAGAGCAAGAAGCTGGAACAGGAGCAGCAGCAAACCACCACCACCACCACCACGTCATAACCACGGCGCGCACGGACGCCATGCGACGCGAGGTTTTGTTTGTGTGAGAGAACGTCCAGGACGCTGTTTGATGAAGCGAGGCCTTCATGAGTTGGTGCCATCCAGGTGTTTTCATGCCTCTGGTGCACGCTGTGCATGTTGGTGCGATCAACACATGATCAATCAATGCATCGCATCCATTCCATTAACAAGAACACGAAACGCGTCACATCGGTTCGGTTCGTTGTCGACACACCACACCCACCAGCACCCATCCATTCATCCATCCATCAAGGCAGAGAGGCAGACAGGCGCTGGAAAGCCACCACACCGACCGCCCACACCCACCCACCCGGTCATGTGCCCCGATCACTTGGCGAGGATGACGCCTTCGTATTTGTCCTTGAACCAGTTCATGGCGTCATCCTTGGTGATGCGGTGCGAGTGGCCGACGCTCGCCGTCTTGCGCCGGCGGGTCGCCACGCGGTGACCCGGGCGGGACAGGTGCACGTAGAAATCCATACCGTAGATACCTGCACACACTCAGGCAAGTGATTCGGCATTAGCGGCTGCACACTGCAGTGCAGCAGGGGGATGGTATGGTGGCCGTGTCACCCACCCCACTCACTCACCGGTCGAGGGGTCGTATTTGATGCCCAGGTCGATGTGCTCCTGAATGCCAAAGCCAAAGTTGCCTGCAGTGCAGCAGCATCACATCACATGAGAACACACAACATCAATCATAGCTATGAGGATCGAACACACACAAGAAGCACACACATCTGCACCAGAAGCAGCTGACCGTTGTTAGAGAAGTTCCTCTGGACGAGCTCGTATTCCTTGACCTTGAGGCCTCGCTCGAGGATCTCTGCCGCCCGCTCGCCCCGGACAGTGACGTGGCAGGCGATCTTCTCGTTACGACGCACACCAAAGCTACGGATGGTGAAACGAGCTGCAGGACATCGCACCCAATCCCACACACACGCGGACACCGACCGTATGACATGTGATGTGTCCATCGGATTTGTTCACAGACGCGCACCTTTTGAGTAGACAGGGTTCTGTCCTGTCAGCTGCTCCAGCACCCTGGCGGCGCGTGTGAGACGATCACCAGACTGCAGACAACCAGACAGGCAAGGGCGGGCATCTGAGTGAGGCGTGTCCACTGTTTGTGTGTGTCTGTGTGATACATACCTCTCCGACAGAGATGTTGAGGACGAGCTTGGAGATGCGGATCTCCCGCATGGGGTTGTCCTTCTTCTCCCCCTGCACACACAACACAACAGACGCCACAAACACACCCCACACACCAGACAGATGTCGCCGAGCGCACGCAGCCTGCTGATCTGGCCTCGCTGGTACACACAGCATCTCCTCTGCCTGATGGACGCCCTCACTCGGCCACACCCCTCGCTGCCTGCCTCCAAGGTCTGTCTGGGCCGCTTGTCAGCACAGATCTGGCTTCTTCTTGACTGCCTATGCTTTCCGTGGCTCACTCACCATCGTGAACGCGGCACCCTCTTCGGCAATTGCGAGCGTGTTTCGACGATTGCGAGCTTTTTTTTTTTTGAGACTTTCTGCCCTCCGCCCCCTTTTTCTCGGCTGTTGCTCAGACTGAGAAAAAATGAGAGGTGGAGGACGCCAGCCGCTTTCCGTCCCGACTTCGCCGCAGAAGAAGCATCATGTTGGTGGGGGAGCCTCAGGCGATGTGGAGAGCCTGCGTGTGGAGCTGGACAGGGTACAGCGTCAGCTCAAGGACGCTGAGCTGCGTGCCAGTATGGAGGCTGAGGCGTCGTTGCGGTCCAAGTATGAGTTGGGTGAGGTGGAGGAGCGGGTCAAGGCGCGGGAAGAGCAGCTGGGGCGGTTGCGGGAGGACATGGCCAGGCGGGAGAAGGCTTTGCAGGAGGGTATCGTCAGAACACAGGAGGACCTACTGGTGAGAGGGAGGGAGGGGAGAGGGCGTGCAGACAGTGCATGCAGAAACGCCCATTTGTCCCTTTGTGTCTGCAGGGCTTGAAGGAGGACCTGGAGAGCACTGCCCCCTGGCGCAGCAGACTCGAGACATTCTGCACGTTCGCCAAGCTCCACTGCCCTCCCCCATCCCAGCCCTCCCCCCTCGCACAGAGCACAAACACACAGCCAGCCTTCCCCCAACAGCCGCAGCTCCAACCCGCGACAACAACACCAGACAAGTCAAAGGCGGCAGCAAAGAAGAAGGGCGCAGGGCCTGGCGCGCAGGGCAAGGCTCCGCCGCCCCCCAGAGGCGACCTCCAGCCGATGCCGCGCCAGTCTGTGGCACAGGTGCGCCGCTCGTCGTCCTTTGCCATCCTTGAGGACTTCATCAAGTCGTATGGACTCTCGCCAGACACCGACATGGGAGGGATGGGCGGCAAGGGCGGGGGGGCGGCGGGGGGCAGACAAGGGGACGCCAAGTCAAGTAAGCGAATCCCATCGATTGAGTCTATCGGGGGAGGGAAGGGAAGCGGATCACACGCAGGGATTGATTGTGTCTCTTTTGTTTCGTCAGGCCGTCGTCGGTCCTCATACCACGACGCTCCGCCAGAGGCCGCCCTGCAGTCGTCACTCGTCCGGGGCATCACCGGCCTGGGCGACGACCTCACTTCCACCGCCCCAATGCTGGGCGACGCGCGAGTGCAGGTGCCGACCGTCATCCCTCCCCCCCGAGACACCACCAGAGATAGCAAGCCCCCCAAGACGGCCCAGGAGGCGCTCGAGGCGTTTGTGAGGTCGGTGGAGCAGTGTGTGGCTGTGCACCAGTGGAGCCTGAAGGAGGCCCTGGAGCGCAGCTATGGGCTGAAGGGGGAGGTGGAGGCGCTGCGGGAGGAGAATCGGCGGTTGAAGGGTGTGGTGGACGAGGACCGGGTGTGCATCCGGTGCGAGCAGACCTACAGACTGGCTGAGAACCATGCCGTAAGGAGGGAGGGAGGTGAGACGGGGAGCCAAGGGAGGGAGGGAGGGAGGGAGGGCGTGGATTGAGAATGTCTCTGTCTCTGTGCGTCTGTGTGTATGGTGGGGGGGTTCAGAATGCCTGCACATACCATCCCGGGAAGATCAAGTTTTTCTCATGCATGTCGTGCGGAGGTATACACACACACACGGACACACACAGTCAATCGCAGACAGAGAGGGGGGAGAGGAGTCCCTATCAATCATTTGTGTGTGTGTGTGTGTGTGTAGGTGCCAAGTACTGGACGTGCTGCAACAAGTGCTCTGCATGCTCGCCCGGCTGCCGCACGGGATTCCATGTCTCATGATTGAACCCACACAACACAACACAACACAACACAGTCAATCCTGGCCGAGTTGCTTCAACAGTTTGCTTGAACCATTGCTTTGACGATTGATATGCACTGCACTCTGACCAGAGACGCTCGCTCACACAGAGAAGTGATATGGGGGGCCTTTGCTGTACTGTGCTGTGGTGTGTTTGCTGCGAGGGGTGGCTGACGGGGGAAATGAGGGCTGGCGGTGCATGGTGGAGTGGGGAGACTGGACTGTCATTCACCATGTGGCTTTTCTTAAGATCTTTGGCGCGACCAAAATGGCTTTCTCAAACAAACGTGACGCACATACAGTACACGCCTCGTGATATGTACAATGTCGGTCTGCTCAGCGATGCCACTCAGTTTCCCCTCCCCCTGGGCCCTTGCTCGTCTCGCCCACAGCCTCGGCACGTCGACACCCACACATGAGCACAAGTGTGGATGCCAGCATGCCAAGTATCTGGACAAGGCGAGCAAGCCACCAACCAACCAACCAAAATGATACACACCCATCGCCTCGTCATCACGACTTTGCATAACGGTTCTGTATGTGACACTTCCAGATGAGTGGCAACAAAGAAACATGCAGCTCGATATATTCACGGAGGCGTCTTCGGCAGCCACAAGGCCACGTCACATGAAGCTGCACACACACCACATAAGACACACACACACATACTCGCAAGGCGATGTACTGTTTGCCCACTGCCCAGCCGCCCCGCCCACCTGATGCCAAGACAGCTCTGGTGGGGTGGAACGCCAAAAACCGCGGCTGCTGCGTGTGGCCGTCGAGCCGCCCGACCCGCCCTCCCAGCGCCTCCCACACATCCAGTGACGGGCTCTCGTCACTCCCTGCACACATACACAGAAAGAAATACGGACACACACATATATTTAGGCGTTCGTTCCCTCACCCACCGCAGAAAACGAATTGTCCATCAGGGGAGAATGCTGCGGGGGGTGGGGGTGGGGTGGTCCTGCTGGCGCTCCCATTCTCAATGTCATATGAGGAGCCCCTGAGAGCGTTGAGTGTCCGCCCATATATGGCGTCGAGCAGCAGCAGGTCTGAGGTGCTGGCGCCGACCAGCAGGTGGTCCGCCGCTGGACTGAACAGCAAACTCTGCAACACACCGAATGGGACACCTCCGTGAGACTCTGTGCGTGTGTGTGTATGTGTGGAGAGGGGGGGTGTACCGTTATGTGTGCGTGTCGGGGCAGTCGGTCGGAGAGATCGAAGCCGGCAAATGCGCTCTGAGGCCGCAGAGTGAGAGTGCACAGACTCCACAGGCATCTTCTCGTACCTCCTTGTAGGAATTGGTGTCGAAAAGATGCACCTGTCGGCCAGAGGCACCTGCGACAGACAGGCATCAATTGCAGTCAGCTGTAGAGAGCGGCACAAGACGCCCCGCCCTTCACTCACAGGCGAACACAATGCCTGATCAACATCCCCACACACGCAGAGAGCAGCGGATAAGCAGCGTTGCGTTGCGTTGCAGCACTCACTGCTCATCTCATCCCACCTTCCTTGTCGAAAGCAGCAGCAGGCGGGGACGAGTGAGACGCAAAACGGGCCTACACGCCATGCAACCGACGCCATCTATAAGCTAAGCTCAGGGGTGCCGCCCCCCTTCCAGGCCCCCGCCCCACCCCACCAATGGCTGCGTGTCGTTGAGGCTGAACAGGCGCACACACGAGTCGGCACAGCAGGCCAGCACCAGGTCTTTACTTGGGTGCATCGCCAGGTGAACAGCACTGGGGTACGGTACACAACACAAACGGGGAGAATCATTCACTCGCAAGACGAGACGAGAAGGCCCTCCCTCCTCATGGTTTGCTCACTCACGGCGCTGGTAGCGGGAAGATCCGCGTGTAGAGGTTCAACTGCAAATCCCATAGCCGCAGAGAGGCTGCAAACAGCAAGCAATGGACGACGCCCTTGAGTGACTAACGTGCGTCGCACCGTCCTCCTGGTTGGCGGGTGCCGTGAGGATGTGCTGCGGCCCGCGGCGTGTGAACCGCGCCGCAGCTATCCCCAGGTGACCCGACGGCAGCCGCTGAACCAACCTGCAACACAGAACCAAACACGCAACCAAACAAACAAACAAATCGGTCAGTCAGTGCAGATCTCCTTCTGTCTGCTCGCGTACGTACTTACTTGGGCTCGTCTGTGTGGTGCAGGGTCGTTCGGTAGACGTGGACATCGATCATGGTCGGGGCCAGGAGGAAAGATCCGTCGTCCGGAGAGAAGTCGAGGCCTTTGCGCTGCACCGTGCCCTCCCGGCTGACCCACGCCACACACAACGACCGCACCACATCGGATGTCAGCTGCAGACGAGAAGATGGGTGGTCTGCGGCAGGGAGGGGAGGCGGCATCATGATGCTGGGCAGCGGCCTAAGAGGGTCGCGGCCAGAGGCCGCTAGATTCGCGCACTGTTCCTGTCGACAGCAGCGGCGTGAGAATGATGTTCACACGTTCACGTTTCGCCATCGACAACAACCTGAAATCGCGCCCCTCGTTCTGGCAGCGAGATCTGGGCCGAGTGTAGGGTTTCTCGGGTCAAGGGTTTGCAAGGAGCCAGCGGTTTCAGGGAGCACCCTAGGCGGCGGCATTACTCGACACAAGAATGACTTGATGGGCTGTGCTGCTGCGGCCACATGACTGAGGACTCCTGAACTCTCGCGTAAGTGAGCCGCCGCACCTCATTCCCGTGGTGGGCGGCTTTCGCGAGAGGGGGGAGGGATCGGAGGAGAAGGCGGAGGGATAGATAAGGCGGATACGGCGGTCGGACGCACTGATGGCAGAGGTGCAGTCGTCGAGTGCGGAGGCTTCCTCCTCGTCCCTGGTGATGCGAGGGTCGGAGGCCTATTCGCTGGGCAAGGCGCTGGGCGCCGGGTCGTTCGGTAGCGTGACGCTGGCGCAGGTTGTGGAGACCAAGGAGACCGTCGCCATCAAACAGGTGCTGCAGGACCCTAGATACAAGGTGGGCGGGCGGGCGAGGGCGGCGCGGCGGCACACACGCATAAGTGGCTGGAGTGTGGTCGAGTGCACTGCACTTATACACGGATGGATGGATGTGTGCGTGTTTTTGGTGTCTGTTATGTGTTGTGTACTCAGAATCGCGAGTTGGACATCATGAAGCTGCTGCGGCACCCGAATGTGGTCGAGTTGCGTGACTTCTACTACACCCCCGTAGCGGCCGAGCAGCAGCGCACAGGCAGCCACGGCGAGAAGGCTTCCAACCTCAACGTCGTCATGGAATAGTATGCACACCACACCACACCACACCACATCACAAGACAAGGCACCACACACAAGCGCATCTCTCTCTCTCTCTGTGTGTGTGTGTGTTTAGCATTCCTGAGACGGTGTATAGGGTGGTGAAGGGCTACACGCGGCAGCAGCGCATGTTGCCGATGGTGTTGGTCAAGCTGTACGTGTACCAGATCTGCAGAGGCGTCGCACATCTACACGCTCTGGTTGGTAGGGGGCATGGCATCGCATGCCACCCCCACCTCACCACCACCATCACCACACACACAGGGATAGATAGGATGGCCCATCGCCCATCTGTGTGTATGTCGTGTCAGGGGATCTGCCACCGGGACATCAAGCCGCAGAACCTGCTGGTGGACCCCAAGAGACACGTCCTCAAAATCTGCGACTTCGGGGTGAGTGAGGAGACCGAGCCATGCACACACACACATGGCAGGCAGCAGAGAGCAAGACTTGAACGAACGCAGAACACGGTGTGTGTTTATTGCCCCTGTCTGCTGTCTGTTGTCTGCCCTTCAGAGTGCTAAGATACTGAAGCCAGGTTCGTTGAGCGGACAGCGGCGAATGGACACACACACACACACCACACACACCACACACACGAGCGGACACACGAAAGGGCAGCTGAATGGTGTGGTGTGATGTGGTGTGGTGTGGTGTGGTGTGGTTGATTGGGTCCATCCGTCAGGTGAGTGTAGCGTGTCGTACATCTGCTCGCGCTACTACCGCGCGCCGGAGCTAATGCTCGGCGCCACCGAGTACACCACAGCCATCGACATCTGGTCCATCGGTAAGATCACACACACACACACACATACACACCAGCAGCAGCCACACGCCAGACCCTCCCGCCCTCTCTCTCCCTCCCTCCCTCTCTCCCCCTCCAGGCTGTGTGATGGGCGAGATCATGCTGGGCCGTCCGCTGTTCCCGGGCACGACGTCAGTGGACCAGCTGGTCAAGATCATCCAGACCATGGGCACACCCACACGCGACCAGATGTCCTCCATGAACCCCAACTACACCGAATTCAGATTCCCAGAAGTCAAGCCACGCCAGTGGACAAAGGTCAGCTTGTGCGTGATATAGTGCGACAGAGACAGAGAGAGAGAGAGGGAGAGAGTGTGTGTGCGCGTGTGGGTGTTCAGATCTTCCCGGAGGGTAGTGGTGTGTGTTCCGAGGCGCTGGGTTTGCTGACGGGCCTGTTGGCGTACGAGCCCGAGAAGCGCCTGCCGCTCCACGATGTGAGCTGAACACCAGCCTGCCGCCCATCACCCCACACAGACATGCAGAGGGAGGTCATTTGAACACACGAGTGTGCCTGCTGTCCCATTCCAGGCACTCGCACACGAGTTCTTCGACGAGCTTCGGGACCCTAGCACCCGGTTGGCACCCTCACGCCCTCACACACATCTCCCCCCCTCCCGCACACACGCACACACGCACACACACATGCTCTGTGCGTGTTGGTGTGTGGTGTGGTGTGGTGTGTCAGGTTGCCGGGCGACGTGGCCATGCCGGTGTTGGCTGACTTCAACCACGAGGAGATCTGCAACGCCTCCACCGCCGTGCGGCCCAAGCTCATCGCGTGGAAGGCGGCGGAGGCGCGCAGGGCAGAGGCCGACGAGTGACCTCACCACTCCCACGTGATATATACAGGGGTTCGGGGGGGCGAGAATCGCATGTGTGTGTTTTGTGTGTGTGTGTTTGTAATGATTAAGTGGGGGAGGGAGCGAGGGCGGATGCGTGTGGTGTGCGTGGGGCGTAGTCGGCCCTCTGGCTCACGGCTGTGCCTGTGTGAATGGGATGGATGGATGGATGTGTGACGACACAGGTAAGAGGGGGTGGGGGGTGGGGAGGTGGCTGGCTGGCCCGGTGGTTGCTTTGTTCATCTTTGTGTGTTTGTATGTGTATGTGTGTTTGTGTCGACATCCATGGCTTCATTCATACCTACGTTTCGTGTGTGCGTGTGCGTGTGCGTGTGCGTGTGTTTTCTTTTTCTACACAAACACAACAATTTGTCCGACAAAGACGACAGACTCGGCGCGGTTGGTTCGGTTTGTTCTTCCTTTATCATTGCCTGCCTGCCTGCCTGCCTGCCTTGCTGCTGCCTCACTACCTCACTGCCTCCCTGCCTCCATGTCTGTCTGCGTGCGTGTGGGTGGTTTTCTGTAAACTAGTCAGTGTGATGCACTCACTCATCAGCGATCCCCTCCCCCTTCGCGCGCGACAGACAGAAAGGCAGACAGCCGAGAAATAGAGATCAGAGACCCGCCTGGCTCTGCCTGGTCGGATGATAAACAAGGAAGCTAGGTGGTGTGCTGGGTGCTGGTGGACGGACGGAGGCGAGGCGCTCAGAACCGGCTCTTTGTCTGGCCATGACCAAATGGGGAGTGTTTCTCTCTCTCTCTCTCGGCGTACATGTGTGTGGGTGTGGATGTGTGTGGTGTGCCCGTAGTATTCTCCATGATCACTGCCTGCGTGCCTGCGTGTTGGTTTTTTCCCCGTCAATGTCGATCAACGAATGAGCTGAATTCAAGGCTGGTCGATCGTATCACGGCCAGGCCTTGCTGTGTGTGGATTTGTAATATCTTTGGTGGTGAGTGGGCCGATGGATGGATGGATGGATGTGGCATTGTAAGTGTACAGGCAGACAGGGAGGGAGGGAGGGTGTGTCTTTATATGTCGGTTTTCCACCCACCACAACGACAACGACGCCGTGTATATACGTTGGATGGATGGATGGTGGTCAATGTTCGGCTGCTGCTCTACTCTCGGCCTCTCTCTCTTTCCCACTGATGGCTGGACGGGATGGGATCTGATGGCTGGTGTGGTGCTGTTTTGCACAGCTGCCCGGCTACTCGTAGCAAGCGAGAGATAGAACAGGCAGAGACGGCCCATCCATCCATCATCCATCCATCCATCCACCCATCCATGGTTCTGTCTGCAGGCATCTCATGCCCCAGCCACATGGCAGATTTCCCTGCCCCCACAATGGTCCCCGCCCCCGCCCCTGCCTCTCTCAACTTTCATGTCCCTTTTCGTTTTCCTTTGCGCGCGCCTGCCCGGGCGGTTTTCTTTTCGCGGCTCGGTTTTCGCTGTCTGGTCGCTCTTTGCTCTTCTCTTCTTTTTCGGTCTGCGGGCTTTCTGACGAGGCAGGTGATAGTATGACATGGTTCGTTCATGGCTGCTCACGTCGGTTGGCAGACGATCTCCGATTTCATGCTCATGCTCACTGACTCCTCAACTCAACTCAACTCGTGTGTATAGCTAGCTATATGACCGTGACTGATTGATGGTACCTCTCCCACAAGCTTCGCTTCGTTCCCGGCAGACAAACATGCAAGCGCACAGACAAAGAAGCCCACGAAAAATGTCAGCCAGACACACGCAGCCATGCAAGAAGACCATCGTCCATCAGAGTCATGGTGTGTTGAGGACGGGCGCGAGTGGCGTGGGCAGGTGATCCCATGTTACTGGCTGAAAGGGGGCAGACGACCGCACATCGACCAGCGAAAGGTTGTGGCAGCGACACGACGCACCTCCTGAATTATCCAAGCGCGAGACACAGGGTGACGTTTGCCCAGTGTCTGTCTCTCTCTTCTGCAAGAGGTCCACCTTTTTTATCGTCGGTTGGTGTCGCCCAGATGCCGTCAGTGAGGTCCAGCCACTGCCCCGTGGTCTCCTTCAGCCGCCCCTTCACCTCACCGGCCATCCCCCTCACGCCGCCCTTCTCCCCACCACCAGCAGTAAGCAGCGGCACCACTACCCTCCCCAGCACACGCTTCGTGGTGGTGTCCTCCTTGCCATGCAGCAGCAGCTCCTCCGCAGAGCCCTTCCTGACGCTCTTCGCTGTCGGACTCCCTCCCCCATCCTGCTGCTGTTTCTGTGTGTCGAAGTGCCCCCTGACCTGGACCTCCAGCTCCAGTGGCCCGCCGAAGTGGGAGGCGTTGAGGGGGAAGGTGAGGTTGAGGGATGGCCAGCACACCCACAGCATGGGGGTGCGGGCGGTGGTGGTGGTGGGGGGGGCGGAGTGGAATGTGCGGCATCCTCCGTCGAGCACCGTGACCTCGTCGTTGCCCAGCTTGAATGTCACACTGAGATGAGAAGACAGACACGGAGACTGAATGATCGAATGGCGACGGGACGGGCGTGACTGCGCTGTACTCGCCTGCACTTGACGAAGTTGGACAGCTGGGCGCCATTAGGGCCGTCGAGGATCGCCTGGTGCAGCGTGAATCTGCTCTCGAACGCCTCGCAGTGGACCGCGAAGACATCTGACGGGGCGATGCTCGTCGGCACGTCACCCAGACCAACCAACGAGAGTCGATACCTGACACCAGTGAGACATAGGCCACGTGTAAATGCCCCACTGTTCTTCCTTGCTCACCGAACTTCGCCGAGCGGGCAGAGGAAGCACGTCCTTATTCGCCCAGTCCCCTCATTATCCCGGGAAGCATCAGCACCCAGGTCTTCCTCCGCCTCGGGCACCTCCCCCTCTCCACCTGACGGCGGCCCCCACTGCTGCCACTCATCCCCGCCCCCCATCGCCAGCGAGTCCACCGGCAGCCGACCAAAGGCCACCGGCTGACCCACGGCGGCATGGCCTCCCTGGCCGTCTGCGGCGAAGAAGTCCAGGGCGACATAGCTGTCCTCCGGTGTATAAGGCAGCCAGACGATTTCGTTCCATCGGTAGGTGGGGCCGTGGGGCACGGCGCCGACGGTGCGGCTGAGGGAGACCTCGCCGTGGTGCACATAGGAGATCTCCTCACCCTCACTCGTGCCCGGCTGAACAGACGCCTTCCCAGAGATGTGCCGGCCGGTCCGCAAACCCTGGTGGCTGCTCTCTGGTGAAGTCCAGGTGCTGCCACGGGGCAGCTGTGCGATAAAGAACGGCCGCAGCGGCGCAGAGAGGCTCTTGCTGTGGTCAGGGAACGTCGGCGCCTCCAGTATCTGCAGACGGATGACCTTCCTCTGGTCAGGCGGCAGCAGACCTGGCAGCACCGGAAAGTACTCGACGTCTGGACAGGGGGGCGGGATGGCCGTCGGCGGGATGGACGAGAGGCACAGCCGGAGAGAGGGCATGCGCGAGCGGCCGCCGAGGTCACGCCGCATGGCCGTGCGGACGTGGGTGGCGAGCCGGTCCAGCTCTTTCAGCGCCTTGGACGAAGCGACTGATGACGTCTTCCGGTCCAGCTCGGCGCGCCGGGTGGCGGACGTCTGAGCCAGGTGCTCTGAGTCGGCCAGGTAGACCACCGACGGCCGTCCCCTGAGGTCGAGGTAGCCCTCCACGACCTCCGAAATGTCGACGTTGGCCTCCCACCGACACAGCCACTCGAGCCGTCCGGCGCTGCCGAGCTTCTCCTCGTCGATGGAGTAGTGCTTGGTGTTGTAGGTGGGGAAGGGGATGTGCGTCCCGCCCGCCGCCCATCGGCAGTGCTCATCGCTGGAAGTGAGGAGGGGCGGCAGCCCCTCCCCCTCGCTGTGGGTCAGGAACAGCATGTAGAAATCGACAGACACCTGCACCGTCGGCTCGCCGTCCTCGTCCGCCCTGGGAGTCCTGACGGCCCCACCTGCGGGTGTGGTCACGTCTGCTTTGGCGTTGTCAGCCTTGATGTCGTCGATATCGAGGGTGAGGCTCTCGTCGAAATCCACGATGCACTTCATGCGGTCGTCGGTCATGGACGAGAGGGAGAGGCCCGACCCGGTGTGCTTGAACTTGTGTGTGCTCGCCGGCTGTGCCTGGGTGTCGGAGAGCTTCTCCAGCAGGATGGCCTCGGCCGCAGTGGCGGCGAAGATCAGCGGAGGCACGAACTTGGTCTCGGTGGCTATGGCGCCTCCCAGTGACTGCACTCGGCCCTTGAAGAGGAGCACCACGCCGCCCAATGTCGGGAGGTCGGCCGACTGCGGCTTGCGGTCCCAGGGGAGAAGAATGTTGAGCTCGCGGCTGGCGTCGTGAAGACAGTGCAGGGACGCCATCAGAAACCTCTCGAAACTGATCCACGATACACACACATCCGCACACCACACCACAAAGCAGATAAACCACATGCGCGTGGTCTTTGACTCGACTCGTCTCTCTCACTTTTTGAAGTCCGCAAGCACGAGTCTGAGCAATCGTCCTCTCACGGGCATAGGGCAAGGCATCGGCAGGGCCCCCCACTCCGGCCTCGCCTCCTCCTCATCCTCCGGCACACCCAGCCCCACCGGCGGCGCAGCAACCTCCGTACGCGGTGTTTGATAGCCGCTTCGCACCGGATGCTGCTTAAGCCGATGGAGCGTCGAAAAGAAACGCGGCGGCACCAGGTCTGCGAGGGTCTCTGACTGGTCCTGGAGGTGTCTATATTGCGTCTCGAGCGTCGGGATGCTTGTCGCCAGGATCTTGGAAAAGGCGCGCGTGAGCGGGGCGACGTCTAGGAGCTCGTCGCAGAGGTTGAGGGAGTCGAAGAGGAAGTTGTGAAGGGTTTCCTCGGCGGAGACCTTCTTCTCCAGCGCCTTCACTTTGGCGTCCTGATTGGCGACGGACAGATGGCAGCACACAATCATGTCTCTCGTCCGTCAGCACCTGTCTCGCGCTTCTCTCTCACCATGCTCTCGGGCACTTTCGGTGTCTCCCTCTCGTCGATTCTCTTTCTGCACCTCTTCATGACGTTCTCGAGCTGCTGGGCCAGGTCCTGGAGGTCGCTCCATCTCGCCTCCCCCTCAGGCACGCGCAACGCCTTGGCCTTCGCGGGGTCCATCGCAATCGCCTCAGTCTGGTGGCAGACAAAACGACAACAGAAGACGTCCGTCATTCATGAGCCCCCAAACTTAAGGAACGATATGAATGCTGACCACGAGGGGCTTCAGGAGTGCCATGACGTCGCCCAGCTGCAGGCCGAAGCTCACGCTGCCCTCTCCCGCCGGCTTGGTAGCCTTCGACGCCATACCTTTCGTTGTCGCACTACCAATCGGTGGCTCCTTGTCTGGGGGGGGG